AAGATGTACACAAGGCAAACGTTTAAAGGGTCATATTTGTTCTCTTCATTTTTCCTTATTTAGTGGATACTTATATTCTCTTGGTTTTAACTTGTTTATCACCTCCCTAAAGGTTTCTTTTTCTCATTGACACTGTGGCTGTTTTAGTCAAGACAGCCTTTAACTGTCTCTTAACTGCACTCCCTGACTGGAATATGCCTTCTACCAATACCGTTATTTCTCTTTCTTATCATATTTCGTTTTTATTTCTTTTTTTTTTTTTTTTTGGAGAGGTTTTTGCTGTAGGGCATGTGTGCTCACCAGAAAGACAGAGACATAGAGACAGGAAGCAAGAAATCACCCCCCAGGGGGCTGGCCACGCCGCAATCCCTTCTCCTCCATTCTCCTCTCAGGATCTTGGGCATGCACGCACATGCGCCCAGCGTGAGTTTAAGCCACCGGGTCCGGGACTCAAACCATGGTCGACTACATGGGAGTTCAGTGACATAGCCATTATGCTAACTGCTGGTCCCTTATATTTCTTTTGCGCTTTAGCAAAAAGTCCTTAATAATGGCAATCAAGACTTTCCTTGAAGTGGCCCACTGCCTGTCCCATTTTATGTTTGACTACTTTCCTTTGTACCCTATATTTCAGGCTCTCATATCACTGCCATCTTGTTTTGTACATCTTTGCTTTTGCTTTTGCTTTTGCTTTTGCTTCGGTGCGGATCTCCTTCCCCGCCTTGCAAACTCCTTCCCTTCCTGAAAAACCAAGTTCACCATAGTATCTCCCCTGCTTGTGTGCCTCTTTCCCCCTCATAGTTGGCTCAGTTCTTTGTATAGCCCCTCATCGTCTCCTTTCTGTAACTTTTCTTCATCCTTTACATATTTGCTTCAATATTTTTTGAGAGATTTTTGCTATAGAATATGTGTGCTCACCAGAGAGACAGAAAGAAATCACCCCCCAGGTATAATGGCCATGCTACAATCCCTTCTCCTTATTCATGCACATGTGCCCAGTGTGAGTTTCAAGTCGCCGGGTTTGGGATTCAAACCGCAGTCGATTATGTGGGAGTCCAGTGACATAAGCATTATGCTCTCTGCTGGTCCCTCAGTATGTTTTCTTAATGATGAACTCTGAGAGGAGACACTATCTTTTTGAGCTTTGGACTGGAACAGTTAAAAGTGTATAGTTCATGTACCTTTTCCACACATAAATATATCAACACTTCACAGAAAAATCATCAGAAATGGTGCATTAGACGGTTTACTGCTATTTCTTATTCAGATGATTCCTATATTAAATTTAGTCCTGAACATTTAAGTGGAAAGTGGTTAATTTTGCTACAGATTTGTATAGTCTTTCAGCTTTTGTTTGTTATGTTTACAAATAAATTGATACATTTTTTAAAAGTCAGCATTAAAGTTTTTGGCTTTTAAATGGTACTGGAAAGAATGTGATCTAGCTGAAATTAATCTAAATATTTCCCCCTACTCTATGGTGTTTATGGTATGGAAAAAACCTCAAAAGGACATAGTAGTATAACTTGACTAGAATATTCACTTTATATGTAGCCTTTGTTGGTTTATGTGACCTGCAGAAAAATGAAGATAGGGACATTTATTTTATACTTAAGTGGTAAAGGATAGTCATTTAGAAATAGATCAGAAAGATCTGTTTCAGCAGAATTCCATAGAGGAGAAAAATTATTTGCTATCTTTTTTGCTAATGTTTTTGAAATCCATCACCAGCCAGTCCTTCTGTTGTCTTTACATTGAGATTTTATACAGTGTTTGGTCTAAATGTTATACTACATTCTTTTATAAAAATAAACCACAGTATTCATAGGTGAAAGATGTATTACCTAATGACAGGTCATTAGCTCAGAACTTTGAGCTTAACAAATTTCACTGTCTTCTACCAAAGCAATTGAATATCTCAAGTGATGACTATTTCAGCAGGTATCTTTAATGAATAAGTGTTACAGGTAAGAGTAACTTTTTTCTTTTCCAGGAGTGTTAATGATATGTTGGGAGTTGAACAAAAACTTTATTAATCTGACAAAATATTTTTATAGTTACAAAAATTATTATATATCTTACCAATGAACTTACAATTTGAAATTTATAGTATGCTTTTATAATTTTTCTTTTATATTTTTCTAAACATTTTACTATCCTTTAAAGAGAATATTAGCATTATAAAAGCACAAAACAAGGTTATAATCATAGACCTCTTAATGCTATTGGGTTGTTGAAAAAGTTATGATTTATTTTTTCCTATAAAAACATAGAAAAAAATACACCATGAGTTTTCCAACAATCCAATAGTTATTTCAGTAACTTGTTTTCTCCCCTATCAGTTTTTGAGCTGGTAAAATGAAGAGTAATAAAAATCAACAACTTCCATGGCAGAGATATTAAAAGGACTCAGATTCCCCAATTATAATGCCTGCAATAATAGTTAAACATGCTTAATGGTTTTCTTTGATTGCTGCATAAAATTAACTTATTGTAGTAGCCATATGTGAAAATGATTTGCATGTGTTTTTGTGGGATTTTTTGTGTTTTTTTTTTTTTTTTGTAAAAATATAAGGTCTTTGATAACATTTTTAATAGTAGACTGGAAAGGAAAAATCGTAAATTATTTAACTGCTTTGTGACCACTTTGTTTTACAGTTTTTCATACTGGATTTATGACGCTTAAATGCTTGGAAATAAAAATGTTTAAAATATGCATAACTTATTTCAGAACTTCATTAATTTAATATTTGCTTTTGTTTCTTTTTTTTCTAAGAATTATTTTATCTAACTTTATTTTTAAATTTGATTAGAGAGGGACAGAGAGAGAGAGAGCAAGATGCCATGTCTGGGATTTGAACTATGGTTGGCCATGTGAGAGTCCAGAGCCCTTAAACACCACGCCACCTGTCTGCCCCAACTTTTTGTTTCTTTAGACTGATATTTTATGTTTTCTTACTTGTTTATACATGTTATTCTAAAAATTATTATTTTCCCATATACTTTTTAAAAGACATACTGTACACTTGATATAATCTCATCCTTGAGTATTAAATACTTCAGTTACAGAAACTTTATTCCCCCAGAATGATTGACATTTGTGCTTTGTCAATTTTTTTTTGTGCAAGTTTTATTCATTTCAGTTTAACATATTAGTTGTAAATTATTGTAATACACTGCCAACATAGTTATTCTTTTTTTTTTTTTTTGAGAGGTTTTTGCTATAGGTCGCACTTGTCACTATAGGTTGCATGTGCTCGCTTGACAAACAGAGAGAGACAGAGAGAGAGAAAGCGAGAAATCATTCCCTGGGGGGGATGGCCATGCTGCAATCCCTTCTCCTCCATTCTCCTCTCAGGATCTTGGGCACGCACACACACACGCCCAGCCTGAGTTAAGTCACCGGGTCTGGGCTCAAACCGCAGTCAGCTACGTGGGAGTCCAGTGACATAGCCATTACGCTAACTGCTGGTCCCCCAACATAGTTATTCTACAAAAAAGGACAACATTTATTTATTTTTGGAGCAAGAGCTTGTTATATTGCAGTCCTCTTCTTCAACCTCCTGGCTAGGACTACTCATGTATACCACCCTGTCCAGTTGTTTTAGACAGGGTCTTGCTCTGTTACCAAGGCCAGCTTCAAGCTCACTATCCTCCTGCCTCAGCCTCTGATTCACTGGGATTACAGGTGCATGCTCCCACACCTGGACTTTAGGTTGGATCTGCAATTGAAACTGGTCTTCCCATGTGGTTCCAGCTGCAGAGCACAGCACCTTAGTAGTGCACACCACCATGGCTAGGCCAGGATGTAATCTTTTTTAAATTGTTTGCAATTTAATGTAATTATTAAAATACAAATAAGTAAGTTTATACTGTTAATTATTATAAGCTAGTAAATCAGTTATTGGCCTAATATTTTAGACATACCCTCAGAGAATGGATAAAAAAGATAAGATATATGCATATTCATTGACTAACCACGAGAGTAGCTTTTAGGGTGGCTGACATTTCTATGCTATTAAATATCTTTACTTTTTATCCATGAAGTTTAAGTCAATATTGTTGTTTATGTTAACTGTATTATTCCATAGTAATAGCCATTGAGTCTTTATAAAGCTATAAATCACTTTTCTCTTGATTAGTGGCATTTCAGATCAGGTAGACCCCTTACTTATACATATTAAAATTGAATTGAATTTATAATATCAACAAATAATAGTTGTTACCAGTTTCAAAAATAAGATCCTTTGGAAAAACTAGCTTATGTTTATTGTTTTACAAGATTTTCTAGATGACATGTATCTTTGTTAATGTTATAATACATTGTAATTAATATTCTTTAGTAGTCAAGAATTTTGAAAGATTTATAGTGAATATTTGACCAGTACCTAAAAAGGTTTTTAAGAGAATATGTCCTTCAAACAGCTACATTAATTCTGTGCCTTCAGAGTAGTTCAATAGTGATACTGGGTTATCAGCAAAGTCATGACTTTTTTTTTTTCTATGTTTTTCCATGCAAAAATGCATCATGACTTTTCTGGTGACCCAGTATATATTAAAGTGACATCATCATGTGGAATTTCATAGTAGATAAAAATATTTTATCTTCTCTCATTTTTAAAGCCCTATAATAGTAAATTCTAGTACATGTATAAGCATATGAACTATTTCTAAAGGGAAATTTTTTGAAACTGTTTTACTAAGGTGCTAATGTTTTTATTTTAAATTCTGTTTAGCAAAGAGAGCTTTTCTTAAATACTTTTGTTTTTAGAGGAGAAGAAAGTAAACATCTTTTTTTTTCATTTATTTAGTGTATTTATGAATTTGCTATTTATTCTCCTGCAGTTCATTTTTACTTTGAAATGATTTACAGAAGTTTTTTTATTGTAGTGCAAAGTGTACATCAGTTTAGATTTACATTTTACTTATTTTAAGCACACGAAAGTACTTTCATATTTTATGTATAAAATAAAATGTTCAATACTTACTTTATTTTCAAGATTTAAAAAAGAAGCTTTCACTAAGGAACAAGAACCAGTGTCTAAGGTAAAGTATGTTTAATTTCATACCTCAAAGATTATACTTTTGGAGGTATTATTGGTGTAATTTTTCTTTTATTATTTCTATTTTATTATGCATGTATATGTCAGTAGTAATTATTGGCACGTTATCAGAAGAAAAATTTATATTTAAAATTTTTATATATAAAAATACACCTAGGGACTAGCAGTTAGCGTAATGGCTATGTTGCTGGACTCCCTTGTAGTCGACTGCAGTTCATGTCCCGGACCTGGTGGCTTAAAACTCACGCCGGGTGTGTGTGCATGCATGCCCAAGATTCCGAGAAGAGAATGGAAGAGAAGGGATTTCGGCGTGGCCATCCCCCCTGGGGGATAATTTCTCGCTTTCTGTCTCTCTGTCTCTTTCTGTCTGACGAGTGCACGTGCCCTATAGCAAAAAAATCTCTCAAAAACAAACAAACAAACAAACAAAAAAAAACCCTAAGTATGGGACCAGCAGTTGGCATAATGGCTATGTCTCTGGACTCCCATGTAGTCAAACACGGTTTGAGTCCCAGATCCATTGGCTTAAACTCATGCTGGGCGCGTGTGCATGTGTGCCCAAGATCCCAAGAGGAGAATGGAGGAGAAGGGATTGCAGGTTGGCCATCCCCCCAGGGGTTGATTTCTCGCTTTCTGTCTGTGTCTCTCTCTCTCTCTGTCTTTCTGGCAAGCACATGCGCCCTATAGCAAAAACCTCTCAAAAAATAAATAAATAAAAAGAAAGAAAAATAACCTAACGTAAAATTGTAAGGTCTTTTTGTTTTGACAGAGACGTCATATATTTTACTTGCTGTTCTATAGTTCAGCTAGTGAGTAATGGATATACATTTATGAACTAAATATTGTGTAATCAGGAAAACCTCAATAATTTGGCCCTTGGGAAAATTAATTTTTCCAGATGATTAATTTTCTGGGATTTTTTAAATGTCAAAGGATTTTAACTAATTTTAAAAACAGAAATATTTTGAGTGTATATTAAATAATGTTTCTGCTACCTTAAACAGGTATTCTGAATATAAGACTCAGGATTCTTGTGTAAATGTTATTTACAAGAGAGTCTAATAGAGGTGTATAGAAATACTTTTGTTCAAGTGCCTGCTTTTCTGATGTCATTTTATTTTGACATTACTTAAGATTGTTTGCTTTTTAGTATAAGGAAGTGAGGCAGATTCAGGACTTACCTTTTGAACAGTATTTTAGTAATGTACAGTACATAAGTGAAATCTAGGCAGAAATATCTGCCTTTTTCTTTTTCTATTTTTTTTTGGAGAGATTTTTGCTATAGGGCACATGCCCTCACCAGAAAGCCAGAGACACAGAGAGACAGAAAGCAAGAAATCACCTCCTCAGGAAGGTGGCCACGCCAGTCCCTTCTCCTCCATTCTCCTGTCAGGATCTTGGGCATGCACATACACACGCCCGTTTAAGCAACCGGGTCCAGGACTCGAACCATAGTTGACTACATGGGAGTTCGGCGACATAGCCATTATGCCAACTGCTGGTCCCAGTAACTGCCTTTTTCTTTTTTTTTTTCTTTTTTTTTTGGAGAGGTTTTTGCTATAGGGCACGTGCGCTCACCAGACAGAGACAGACAGAGAGATAGAAAGCGAGAAATCACCTACCAGGGGGGATGGCCACGCTGCAATCCCTTCTCCTCCATTCTCCTCTTGGGATTTTGGGCATGCACGCACACTCGCCCGGCGTGAGTTTAAGCCACCGGGCCCGGACGCGAACCGCGGTCGACTATGTGGGAGTCCAGCGACATAGCTATTACACTAACTTCTGATCCCAGTAACTACCTTTTTCCAAGCAGCTTAATTTTATACCATAGAAAGTTTTTTGTTGTTTAAAGGGCTTTTAATTACAAATTAATTTGTTTTTAAAAATGGAAGGTTTTTTGTTATCTATTTGATTGAGTTCTAATAATTTGTGATTTTT